GAAGCAATCGCTGAATGGTGGGCTTTCATTGGGATTAGGAAGCATGCCGGGGCATCATCCGGCAGGTGCTTCTAAGACGATGAGCTTCCGAAAGCACCCCGCTTTTCTTGTTGAAGTCCATGTAAAGTAACTTCTTCTTTCCCTTCTCCATAAGACGGTTAACCCAGTGTTGTCGATCCGCACCAAAAGGGGAGAAGGGGAGGAAAACCGCCCTTGGGCTGTGATTGCAATTTTCCTCCTTGCGGATTTAGCGATTGCTGGCCTGGGCTGTAACCATATGGCCATGCCATTTCGTACCTTAACAACTTTGTGGGTGGCATTATCTAAGGAAAGCTTGGAAATGCTCGACCAAAGCATACGGTCTGCATTCTGCATTTCTTCAACATTGAAGCCCCAAAGCCCGGTCTTACCATAAGTCCTCAAGAAAGCAAACTTCATGAAGGTCTTCTTGTACATGCGAACACCAGATGGCGGGTCCATCATCAAAAAGCAAATTACTAAGTTCTGGCCTTGCTCTCTTGACAGGTTGTAACATTTGCTGTTCTACTGTTCTGGCACGGCGACTTGCGGACGGCGCGCAGAAGCCGAGCGTGTTGCTCGCTCTGCGGAACCTCCGCCAGCTGCCCACTTACAACAAAGCAGTCGGAATGGCAGCGGACGAAGCGCAGAGGCTCCTTGATGTGCCGGGCCCGCACCTTGAGCATGCGTCCGCCTGCACGGATGCAGTGGGCGCCCTTGTCAACCTCTACAACGCAGAGACCCCAGTCCATGCGGAGCAGGAAGTTCAGACGCCAAACCGCCGCCACGCGGACCTGGTACTTGAAGTCCAGGCCCTCTTCCTCCAATAGATAGGCCACGCGGTCCTCCGGGCTGAACCACAAAGCCCTTGCGGGGTAGATGGCCAGGTGCTTCTTAAGGTCGCCGGCCTTGTGGAAGCGCGCGTTGCACTCCATGCAGACGTGCGGGCGTATTAAGACAACACTTAACCCTTACAGCATAAAGTACAAACTTTTTTCTTACTGCGCTCTTTGCAGTGCGAGCACGGCTCTTAGAAACACCGTCATACCAGGTTACAAACAAGAAACAAAAAAAAGGTTCTTCCTGCGCCCTCAAGGCAGTGGAGCACAGGGTCCTCCGCGACCTGGTGTCAATGTTGCACATCCACTCCGCCTCGATTCGGGGGATGCGATACTGGCCTTCGAGGTCCTTGACTTCCTTGCATCGGTACACGGGCGTGCCGTCGGAATGCCTTTCGCGGACCAGGCTGTCCACAAGGCCCTGGAACTTTTTGGGCAGGTTCTGGAAGACGACGCAGTCAACGCAGTCCGTTTTGACGGCCTTCAGGACGGCACGGTTGCGAGTGCATCCCGGATTCTGAAAAAGGCGACGTACTCCAAGGCCATCACGAAGTCGTGCACAGGCCGGCAGCTTCGGTTGGACAACAACTGGGTCACGTGGATGTGATCCCAGTGCATTCCACCCGCGGCGTCCAGGAACAGCTTCCGGTGCTGGCACCCGGACCCGTCGAACTGGTGGTTGCTGGTGCGCATGTTTCAAGAAGAAATTGCCCACTCGGCTTACTTAGAAAAGGCAGAAGGTCTGGAACCGACACACGGCTGTGCCTGTACAAACTGCAGACAAGCGTGTGGCCTGGCGGGTTGGAGTTTCTTCAATTGATCGGGTCAAATCCACTTTAGAACAAAGACTGTGGTTCTGCGTGCAGAGACTGTCTGGGAACAGGGACCCCAGAGACGTTGATTCTTCGCAATTTTCATTTGAGCACCGCTTGAAAGCAGTGTATGCCGCAATGGCCCACATGCGACCTTCGTGTGGCTTGACTTTGTGGAACGGGCGCGCGTCAAAGAATACTGTGCCCAGTACGATTGCATAATTTGGCATGCCAATCATGTTCCCTCGCGGTGGAGTTCTGTGTAGGGTTCAGAATCACTGCGAGAAAAGTCAATTTTTATTTGAAAAGCGATCTTGCAAGAAATGATTTACTGCGACACATGCTTTTATGGCGGATGCTTTTGAGGACCAACAATCCAGCACGTTAACCAGATTTTGCTTAGAAGGATTTTGCATGACAGCTTTACAGGCAGCTAGCAGCTGGGCGGGTAAGTCTTGCTTTAGGCTTAGCGCTTTCTAACCTGGCTAAGCGACGCAGCCGCTTTTGTGTGATTTGTGCAACCCTCCAGTTTCCCTTATGTGCACTTGAGTTGTCTGCTGTAAGTGTGAAGAATAGGTACGAGAACATGTCACGCAGTGCAGTTTTGTTTTGGCTTGGTGAAACCTTGCTTTGAGGTTGACGTTGAAGTTGATCAAATCAGCTTGCAGCCGACTTGCCTAAAGACCGTCGTCCCGCGAAGCTCGCGCGGCTCGGGCATAGGTCATGTCCGGCCGGTCCGGGAATTCCCGCCGTGCCAGCTGGTGCAGCTTCCGCACATCGCGGACAAAGAAGTCTGCGGCCAGCTGCCGGAATAGGTTCACGTTCTCCACGTCCATTTTCTATCACGAGCGCTTCTTGCCCTTCTTCTCAAGAGCCTCCACGCGAGCCTGGAGCCCCTGGCAGACCCCGCAAAACACAGCACATGCGGTTATAGTCGAGCGTAACGAGCTCCCCGAGCTCTTCGTCCTCGTTGGCGATGAAACCCAACGCACGCTTCTGGCTCCCCTCGGTCCGCCGGTACCACTTGGGTGCCACGGCGTCGAAGAGCTGCTGCAGCTCCTCGAGCCCCGCGGGCTCAACGCTGTGCTTCAGCTTCTCGTCCGAGAGATTTTGGAACCCATAATTCACGATCACTTCCCCATCGTTGGCCCCGCCCGTGTTCGATTCCACGATGAGGTTGGCCGGCCCGGTCGCCGCCGTGCGCAGGAAGATGGCCTGGTCCTGGGCGTAGAGCTGCACGCCCCCCAGGAGCCGCGCGTTGCCCGCAGTCGCGAGGTTCAGCACCTCCGCTGTGACGTTGCCGCTGTTGACGGTGGACACAACCTGCAAATCCCCCTGTGCCCGGACCCCCGTGCTGCCGCCAATGAGCTCCAGGTAGGCCGGGCTCGAAACGATGCCGTTGTCGGCCCGAATCGCACTGGCGGTGTAGAGCACGGAGTTGAGGTAGGTGCCCTGCGTGCCGCCCGTGAGGGTCAAATAATCGTCGGTGGCTCGGGCCCGCACCGTAGGCGCCCGCAGCTCCGTGGACAGCTCCACGCTCCCTGAGGTCAGCGTGATCTCCTCACCGTGGCCCCCGCCGTCCGCCAGGAAGTCGTGGATGTGCCTGTTCAGCCAGCACTCCTCCGGCTTCAGGAGGCTGTAGAGGTACGAGCAACGGTTGTAGTAGCTAATGTCCTCGATGCGAGTTCCATTAGCGAAGACCTCGATGCGGTCGATGAGGCAGCTGGGGTCCGGCGAGGCGAGCTGCAGTGTGGCCGTGCCGGAGTTGTTGCGCACCGTGAAGCCCAGCTTGACGGACTCTCCATCGACGAAGTCCATTCCTGACGTCAGCGGGATTCGACACACGCGGCTCGTGGTCGGCGTGAAGACGCTCAGCGAGCTTGGGTAGTACTGCACGTCTTTTTGACTCTGCACGTAATTGACGTTGCTCGACTGGAGCTTGTAGTCGAGGCTCTGAACCAACTCATCATTGACTGCAGCAGTCACCTGTGGCTCCCGAACCTGAAAGTGCTGCTCTGCCCCGAACTCCTGCATGCCGTTGAGCGTCTGGATGTCGGGCGCGGAGCTGGGGCGGGAGGCGTCCGTGTCGGTGCCTCCTCCTCCTCCGCCCCAGCCCAAAAGGTGCTGCCACCATTCCCCCGTGGAGCGCCCACGCGGTGCCCACGAGCGCGGCGGCCCCGAGGCCTCCTGCAGCAGCTCCCATACCCGCAGCGGTGCCCAAAGCAGCCTCGCCGAACAGTGCCAGCGCACTGGGGCCCTCCGCTGCCGCTGCTGCTTCTGCGGCCCCCGCGACCATTTCTGTGGTGGAAGCGAAGCCCTCCGTGGCCTCGGCCTCGGCCACCTGCTCGCTCATGAACTGTTCAATGTCTCGGGCTGCAGCCCTTTCCACTTCCTGCGCGCGCTGCCCCGCGCGCTCCAGCAATGGCTCCACTTCGCTGGGCCTGCCGATGATCTGTGGCGGGGCCACTTCGTCTGGTGGGGGTGCAAGGCCCTCGGGTGTGCGCGGGATGCGCAGGTTCCGGTCGATCCAATTGCGCCCCCTGCGCGCGGCGTTGTAAAGGTCCTGTCCGTGGTTCGCGATGGCAGATGCAGAGCCCGCCAGTCCCGTCGCAGCTCCCGCCGCGGCTTCGGCCTGCTGCAGTCGGCTCAAGAAGCTTGGCGGTGCTGGGGGCTCCAGCCTGGGTCCACAGCCCCAAAATCAGACTCGCTGTCCAGGTCGAAGGGCCGTGTCGACGGGGGAAGGGCACGCCATCGTAACCTTCCCGGTCGTCCTCGAAGGCCGCCGCGGGATCCACGTTTGTGTGGGGCAGCGGGGCCGGCTGAGGTTCGCTGCTCTGCGGGTAGTCGTCCAGCCAGAAGTGACTGGAAGTCAGGATGGACGCATTGCGGTTCGGGAGATTGATCGGCAAGGGCTCGCCCTCAGCTATGTAGCCCAGGACTTGCCCGTAGAAGGGCCTGACGCGGAAACCGTGCGCGCGCCGCTCCTCCATCTTTACATCAAGCCGCCGTAAACCCCAGAGTCGCTAGTGTTCCGCCCAGCGGCCACGTCCCGCGCCACGCGGCGGACGCCCGCTCGCTCTGCGGGGGCCCACCTCAACTGGGGAATCCTCTTGTTAACGGCGTCGACGGCGCGCCCGACTTCATCCGTATAGGCCTCGCCCTCCTGGCGCTGCCGCCGGTTGGCCAACCACTCGTTGAAGGCCCGAGCATCGATCAATTGCTGCTGCCGCTTGTAGAGCAGCGGCGTCAAGTTGTAGCTGGGATACTGCTTGTGAAACGCCCGCAGCATTGCGGCCTCGTTGCGCCGCTCGGGGAAGGGCATCATCTCTTTTTACAAGTCCATTGTGTTTGCGAGTAGGAGCTCGTGGAAGCGGTCGGCGCGGGAGAGCTGCCGAGCGCGGCGAGCCTCCGAGGGCGTCATACGCACGGGTTGGGGCTCTGGCGGGGCCTCTTGTGCTCGCTCCTGGTGGGGCTCTTGCTGTGGCTCCGGTGCCGGCAGCTCAGCATGCTTCGGAAGCTCCGCCACGGCCACAGTCGGGGGCGGCTTCGCCTTGTTCTTTGAACCTGGGGGTCGACCTCGCCGCTTGGGGCGGGGCGCTTCTTCAGCAGCCTCGGTCGGCGGCTCGGCCACCGCGGCAGGCTCGGCAGGCTCGGGAGGCTCGGCCACCACCGGCTGCGCGGGAGGCTCGGCCACGGGAGGCTCGGCGGCCACCACCGGCTGCGCAGGAGCGGGTGCATCCTGCTCAGCCATTTAAATAAGATTTTTTTTATCGTTCGGTGTCGAGGAAAACCACGAAGGAAATGCTGGTGCCCCTGGTGTTGACGATGTTGCCCTGGTAGTCGGTGAGCTTGAAGCGCAAGTGACGCAAGGTTATGGGCCCGTGCAGCTGAACCCAGTGCCCCTCCGACGTCTCGGTCTCCATAACATGTCCCACGCCTTTCGAAACGACGATTTTGCCAGCGGGCCCACCGTTGTCTCCCCGTTGGCAAGCGTGGGGCAGCGCAGGTAGAGCTCCGAGAACGGATTCATCGTCACAAAGACGAGGCGCTGCACGGAGCCCGTGAGGTAGCTGGGGCCCAGGAGATGGTTGATGGACAGGGGCTTGCTGGGCGAGGCGCCCGGCGGGTAGGGGGCCGTGCCGGGGAAGCGCTGCCGGAGGATGAGGCGCACGCCATCCCAGGTAACGTCCAATTCGTTCGTTTCCGCGGTGTAGCTGGCGGAAGCGAAGTTGCTGCTGATCCACGCAGCCAGTCGCGGGCCCGTGTACGCGCCCACCGGGAGCTCCGCGTAGTGCAGAGTGCCGGCCACCGTGTCCTCCCAGTACAAGAACGTCCCGCGGTCCGTGCTCAGGAAGGCGTCGGCAACGCGGACCTTGTACACCGCAAGTTTGGCGCCGGATTGAATGTGCACACTCTCACCGATGTCGAAGGAGAAGCTGCTGTCCGTGCCCTCCGCGCGGAGGCGCGAGTCCACGTAGATACTCGTCATGCCCTTTTTAGAACGGCGCCTGAAAAACCGGGTGGGGCGCACCGAGAACTCGCTGGCGTTGGAGCCGTCGGAGGTTTGCCGGGGCCTCTCCGGCGGGGGCCAGTGGCTGGGGTCGTAGATGCCCTGCGTGCTGGTGCAGCACCTTATGTTGCTGCACTCACTTTCGCAAATCGGGCCTCCCCCCAACAACTTGGCCGCCATCTGGCTCAGGAGCGTCCCCATTTAGCAAGAACTTCCGGTCGAAGCGCACCCAAAACATGTCTTCCTTGGGTGCGCGGAGGTTCACGAACCAGAAGCTGTAGGGCTCTCTGGTGGCTTCCTCGTGCATGGCGTAGAGGGTTTCTTTCTCGGGAGCATGGCGCTCAGCTCCTCCACCAAGGCGTCCAGCTCCAGTTGGTTTCGCAACCGGAAGACGCAGTAGAACATGACGTTCACGCGCACGGCGGAGCTCATGAGCCGAAGCTTCTGGGTGGACACCCAGGTGTTGATGCAAAAATGTCTGCCCCTGATGAACAGGGTGTCCAAAACGCCATCTCCCATCTTGCGATGCACCGCAGGATTATCGGCATGGTCATCTAGAACGATCAAAACCTGGTACAGCTTCTTGAGGCCCAGCTCCTTGGATTTCTGGGTGATGCGCTTCTGGTCGGCGATGATCTTCCGCAGCGCCCCCTCGTCCCAATCCTCCCACCAGCACTGCTCTCGGTCGGTGTTGACCCCCAGCTCGTCCCGGATGTAATCCTTGACAGGCTGCCAGGCAGAGTCGACCTCCACCGAGGGCGAGAAGATATAGATGCGCTCGAAGCAGCTCCGGTATTGCTCCAAAATCATGCTCACCAAGAGCACCGTCTTTCCGGAAGCAGACGGAGCACACAAGATTCCGTTGGCGGGGGGCTTGCAGACCACGGGGTCAGGCGGTTGCTTGACGGTGTACTCAGGCGTCTTGAACAGACGAACCTTCCCCATTTACCCCAAGCGTCACGCTCGCGGCGATCTCGTCGCAAAGTGCGGGCGGGATGGAGTAAAGTTGGTCCCGCGAGTTGCTCCCCTCTCGTCCTTTGGTCGGTCCTCGCTGCACGGCCTCTGGGTGGCGAGTTCCTTGGAAGGCTCGACAGGGACCCTGAGAGGGCGTCCAGGGCAGGTTGTGCCAGATGGCCGTGGGCTTCTTGTAGCGGAAACCGTACGTTACCTTGTCCCAGTGGAGGCCCTGCATGTAGGGGCGGGTTTTCAGGCACCCGGTGCTCGGGTTTTCGATGGCCCGCCACCGAGGCTTGAGGTAGTCTATGACCTCCAGGGTCTTGAGCACCAGGGCATCTCCGAGCGGCAGGTTGCGGGAGCGCTTCTTGAGTGCGATGCTGAACTCGGTGCAGCAGGGCGAGGCCCACGCTGCGTCGAAGTGCCCAGGCTCGAAGGCTTTGTAGTCCCATTGCAGGATGTCGGGGCAGATGGTTGGGCTGGCTTTGGGTTGCTGTCAAGACTCGTTACCTCCCAGCCATGGGCCTCGAAGGCACGTCCGACCGACCCCGTGCCGCTGAACAGCTCCAGGAGTCTCATTTGTTGAAGGAAAAGAAAAGGCCCAGTGGCCGGCATTTTTTTTCTTGTCGTGAAAAAAGAAGGAGCGATGGAGCCCAAAACGCTACTCAAGCTCGGTGAGCTTACGACCAACCAGCGTGGCGGCAAGTTCTTCCCGGTGTGCGCGGAGGCCTGGCGGTCCCACGAGTGGCTGCGCATCTTGTGGCACCCCAGCCCCTACGGCAGCGAGACGGAAGCCCGGCGACTCCCCCTGTGTCTCGAGCAGAACGAGGCTGCCAAGGCAGACCTGCAGGCGATCGAGAAGGACATCAAGGGCCAGCTGACCCTCCACGACTCTAAAATCTTCGGCCGCTACCTCACCGCGTCGGACGTGGAGGGTCGCTTCGTGTCCTGCCTCAAGACCTCCTCCCGCGGGAACAGCTTCATCAAGCTCAAGGTCGATTTGTCCCGAGTCCACTTCTGGGACGCTGACCAGCAGCCGCTGGAGGATCCTGGTGACCTGGCCGGTCGGGAATGCAAGGTGCGCGCAGATTTGCGTTGATGGAAGTGACGGACCTGCAGCTGAGAGAGGCCGAAGCCCCGGCCTTTCAGTGTCCGTTCTAGAGCACGCTCAGGACCCACATAGAGGTGCTTGAGGGTGACGTGCGGGCTCTCGGTGTCGCGTAGGAAGACCCGCCCTTCGAGCGTCAGGCCTTGACACGAGGCGTAGGTGATGGCGTGGCGCAGCCGGGTGTGTTTCAGGAGGGCGGCGTGGGTGAAGGAGTCGCCGCCGTCCAAGACGATCTTCTCGGGGCCCACTTCTGCCACACGCATGTAGATGCCTTTGGTCACGCGGCCGCCGACGCCGATGAGCTTCAGGCCGGGCCAGACCCGCATGGTCTGCGGCATGTTGGTGGTCGTCGGGCCGGTGCCGGTGTACTCGATCGTCACAGCTTCCGGCGCGGCCAGGCGACGGTTGTCCCGCGCGTTGATCGTGATGCGGTGGGCGTGGGAGATGACCAGGCTGACATCGGGCTGGCCTTGCCGTGGAAACCTTTCCCGGGAGGGACTGCTCCCAGGGCTCGTCGACCCGGAGCCACCGGAGGAAGTCGAAGATGCCCGGGTCGCTCCTCATGTTCTCGGTGAGCTCGTGGTGCCAGCCGTCGGTGAGGTCGTGGAGCAGCTGGGAGTGCTTGAGCTCCCGCTGCACCGGGTGCCCGCGAAGTTGTCCCGGAAGTCGCCGAGCAGCAGGAACTTGACTTTGCGGTTCATGGAGACGCAGGCGACATCGTTCCACAGCCCGGTGTCGAGCTGCGTGATTTCCTCCGCCACCAGCCAGTCGATGTTGCAGTAGCCGTTCCGGACGGTGCTCCGCACCCAATGGTCGGCCGTCTCCGCCTGCATTCCAAAGTTCTGCACGGAGGAGTGGGTCTTCGTGATGATCTTCACCTTGTACCCTTCTTCCCGGAGGGCGGTCACGATCTGGCGTGCCAGGTGGGTCTTCCCGGTGCCCGGGTAGCCGGTCAGCAGCAGGCTCCCGCCCTCGAGGCAGTGGAGCACAGGGTCCTCCGCGACCTTCCAGGTGTCAATGTTGCACATGCACTCCGCCTCGATTCGGGGGATCCGATACTGGCCTTCGAGGCCCTTGACCTCCTCGCATCGGTACACGGGCGTGCCGTCGGGGTGCCTTTCCCGCACCAAGCCATCCACGAGGCCCTGGAACTTTTTGGGCAGGTCCTGGAAGACGACGCAGTCCGTTTTGACGGCCTTCAGGTACCTCGACGGCACGGTTGCGAGTGCATCCCGGATTCTGGAGACGGCGACGTACTCCGAGGCCATCACGAAGTCGTGCACAGGCCGGCAGCTCCGGTTGGACAACAACTGGGTCACGTAGATGTGATCCCAGTGCATCCCACCCGCGGCGTCCAGAAACAGCTCCCGGTGCTGGCACCCGGAGCCGTCGAACTGGTGGTTGCTGGTGCGCATGGTGTAGATGAGGCAGAGCCCGATGAGGGCATTCACCGACAGCTTCGCGTAGTGCTCCTCTCCCTCCGGCCAAGCCGCCTCCATTTTCTGCAGGGCCTGAGCCACGGACTCCTGGTCCACGTGCGCCGTGGCGTCCAGGCTGTGCACGAAGTCGCGCCAGGTGGCAAGGCCTTTGTCCAGCATGTAGGCCATCCAGGCCTGCAGCACATCCAGATCTTCGTGGAAGGCGGAGATGACGCAGTCCTCGCCGCCCCGCACCCTCAGCCACAGGCACCGCCACTCGCTCATGCTTCGCATGACCACCTTCGGCAGTGCCCCTCGGCCAGGAGCTCCCTCCGGACCTGCTCCAGGTCTTCAGTGTAGAAAAGACCGCTGGCGACCTCGCCCTCCCACTCCCGCCAATCCTTGAACTCGGGCGTTTCGCCTGGCTTCCTCTCGCCCCGGTACCTGGCCCGCTCCCCGATCGGCTCGCACTTCGCGACGGGGCGGATTTGTAGAAGAAGGCGTGGCCGTTCCAGCTCGTGAAGGCCACGGCCCGCTGCTCCTTGACGGTAGGCTCGTACTTGTCCAGCAGGCGGCCCTGGCAGTCCACGTAGAACATCGCGGCCTGGCGCCAAAGGCAGAATTCCCGGATCTCTCGGGGGGTGATGCCCTCCCGCCACGTTTTTTTGGTGCAGATTGCGTCGAAGTCCGAAAGCACCTCCTGCAGCGGCAGCCGCATCAGCTCCGCGAGCTGCCGAGGGACGCAAAGCTTGTCCGGCCGCTGTTCGATTTCGTCGCCGCAGTACAGCTGGTAGGAGACGTCCCGCAGAGCCCCCAGGGGCTGATCCAGGACGGTCTCCACCACCACCCGGTCGTCTACGACCTGCATGGCCTGCTGGCTGAAGGTCCACTCCCTCGTCGCATCCAGGTAGTAGCTCTCGTCGGACAGCTCCCAAATAATGTCGTTCGGCTCGGGGTTCCCGAGCTGCGCGAGCGCGGACGCCTTGAGATTCCGGGCCGCTTGGGCATCCGAGAGCCCCTCGCTCTGCCGGGGCAGTGTGACGTTGAGGTCCGTGACGGGCAGGCGCTTCGTGCGCTCGTAGGGCATGTCGCGGTTCCTGCCGTTTCGCCGGATGCCGCGGATGATGACGGGCACGTGCACCACCCAGTCCACCCACTTGTCCTTGAAGAAGCTCTTCCCGAGCTTGGTCAAGTGGTAGTTCCCGTTGGGTTGGAGGCTGCGGAGCAGCTTTTTGGCGCCGCCCCGGAGCATGATGTAATCGTTAGGGCCCTCGCGGATGAGGGGTTGGTTGCGGTCGTACTGCCGGCTGGGGGGCGGCCGGTCGATCAGTTGGTAGTAGTACTGGCCGGCCCTCGTGAGCTCGCCGTTCGGGCGGCTGAGCATCGCGTAGCGGAGGTGGTGGTGTGTCAAAGGAAGGGTTTCTGAGCCTGCCGCCGAGGTCCTCGCCCTGACCCCGGCCTCGGCTGCAATTCTAATCGCTTCTCGTTGTTGAGCCCAGCTCATGACTTTTGAAAACCCCGGCCGGAAAAAAGGTCGTCGCCCGAGCGGGCGTAGGGATAATCCCCGAACTCTCTCTGTGCAGCCGGGGCACTTTGCTCTGCCTGCAAGACTTTTGCGATCGCCGGCGTGACCGCCAAGCGACGCGCAGCCGGCAACAGAGGGAAGCAGCCCTCCAAAGTTTGAGGCTCCGCCTGGGCCACAAGGTCACGGACCTGGTGCTTGAATACACGAAGCCCCTGCGCGAAGGAGGCAAGCGACGGGTCCTGTGCCTTTTGGCCAGAATCGCGAACATGACCGAACACGAGCAGTGTGAAAAAATCACGAGGGCTTTCAGTGACGCATGGCAGCGGCCTAGAACCTCGTCACTGCTCCAGGGCAAGCAGGCCTAAAAATCACTGCTCTAGGGCGAGCAGGCTGCCTTAAACTCCCGAAACCCAAAGCGTTGGCATTTTTGTTTTGCATGTTCTTGCTGGATTTTCGCATGATTTTGGCATGACTTTGCTTGATTTCCGCATAATTTTGTGGCATGTTTTTTTTTTGTGTTTTTTCTGCGCATTTTTTGCTAGAGTGCTTGGGCCGAGCTCGCTCCTCGAAGCGCCAGCAATCGGCAACATACCGTGCTAGTCCTAATCATATGCCAACTAGAGACCTTCCTTCAGCACCTGTGGTCGCAACAGCAGCAGGCAAAGCCAGCAACACTTCTAAGGCAGCAGACACACACAGGGTCCTGACACAGGGCCGAACGCCGGGCGCACAGAGGTTCAGGAGGTGTTTGGGAAGGTGTTTGGGGGGTTCTGAGGCTGCGAGGTCTGGAAGTGTTGTGCGTCGCTGTGCTGCAAGGCTTCAGGGTTTAGGGTTGGCAGGTGTGAGGCAGTGAGGTCGCCTGAGTGCCCGGGAATTTCGGGCCCCCCTCCTGTGATCAGGTGCTCCTCGTCTCCACTGCTGGCAGCCGGGCTCCGCAGAGGCTTCAGGGTCGGTAGGGTTTCGGGTTGCAGGCTATTCTGGGCTCCGATGCAGTGAGGTTTAGTTCGTTTGTGCTCAACAATGCCCTACCCAGAAATTGGAAGTATATCACTTTTTGAGACACTTCTGGAAAGTCTTCTGGGACCTGTTATCGCGTTGCAACTGCATTGTGACCGTTTTGTGTTGTGACCGCGTTGTGACCACGTTGTGTTGTGACCACGTCCGCGTTGTGTCCGCGTAGGGCGCGTTGTGACCGTTGTGACCGCGTTGTGTCCGCGTTGTGCGTTGTGACCGCGTTGTGCGTTGTGACCGCGTTGTGCGTTGTGACCGCGTAGTGTTGTGACCGCGTTGTAACCGCGTTGTTAACCGCGTTGTAACCGCGTTGTAACCGCGTTGTTCTTCGTCGTCTTCGACATCTTCGAGCAGAGGCAGGGCTGTCTCGAATATGTGGAGGGCCTGGAGGGCTCAGATTGCGTCAGGAATCGACGATTTTCGTGAATTATGGGCTCGGGGAGACGGAAGGAGTGGTGAATTGGTGAATTCTGGGCCCGGGCAGGAGGCGGTGAATTGGTGAATTTTGGGAGGTCCGGGAAGGCGGTGAACCGGTGAATTGGTGAATTCTGGGCCCCGGGCAGGAGGCGGTGAATTGGTGAATTCTGGGAGGGTCGTGGGCACAGCCAGGCAAGGTGAATTGGTGAATTCTGGGCCCGGGCGAGATGGTGAATTGGTGAATTCTGGGCCCGGGGGAGGCGGTGAATTGGTGAATTCTGGGAGGCCGGGACAGAGGTGAACTGGTGGAATCTGGTACGTGTTTGAATGTTTTTGAGGCTGGTAGAGGCAGGTAGGTGGGTTAGTAGGGGATTAGGGCCCGAAGGAGGGGAGTTCACATCACGGATGCTGCCACTCACCGGTTCACCGATTCACCAATTCACCGCGGGTGCCGCCGCTCACCGATTCACCAATTCACCAGTTCACCGCGGATGCCGCTGCTCACCGATTCACCGATTCACCACACGGGAGGCCGCCGCGCACAAATTCACCAATTCACCGTTTCATTGCGGGCGCCGCCGCTCACCGATTCACCAATTCACCGTGGGCGCCGCTCACCGATTCACCAATTCACCCATTCATCGCCGTCGCCGCTGCGCACCGATTCACCAATCACCGATTCCCATGTGAGTCTTGGCCGTTCACGAGCAATCCTGACACTTGCTGAGCACGTTCTTGCTTGTGCAGGTCTTAGGATTTAGGGTTTAAGGTTTAGGGTTTTAGGGCTTAAGGTGTAGGGTTAGGGTTTATAGGGTTTAGGGCCTGCGCGTACGGGTTTGAGAACTAGGTAGAGGGCGTGACCCCAAAAAGTCTTTTCAGGTTTGGATCTTTGGCTTCAAATGAACTGTATACAGATCGCGAACATCAGTGCTCACGAGGGGTTAGGGTCACGGGGGTCAAGGGAGTCATGGGGGTGAGTGGAGTCATGGCAGCAAGGGGGTCACGGGGGTCATCGGGGGCACGGGGGTCACGGTGGTCACGGGGTCACATTACGGAGGTCACAGCGTCATGGAGGGTCACGCGGGCCACGGGGGTCACGGGGTTTGTGGCAGTCACCGAAAAAAGGTCACGTGGGTCACGGTCACAGGGTCACGATCATGGCGTCACGGGAGTCACGGGGGTCACGCGGGTGACAGCGGTATCACGGAAGTCAATGGTCAAGGGGTGATTGTCGACAAAGCACTCTCACAGCTTTGTTTGCCGCAACAAACGCCTGCCCAGGTCGAAGAAGATGCGCATTGACGGCAGGGCCGATCTGTGACGTTCCGCTGGGCAAGCATGTCTGAGCCGAGGCCTCTGCATGCTGACACGGTGTGCGAAGAGTGTCACTGACATGCGCAGGATAACGTTCTATTGCCCGTCAGTCAACTGACTCGATTCGTCGAGTGTTACTGCTCCAGCGGACAGCTAGGACCTACAGGCGCCATGGTACGCGTTGCAGCGGCATCGCGCAAGAAGAAGCCACGTTTGCTTTCGCTGCTGGCAGTGTCCTGGGCGTGCTTGCCATAGCCTCAGACACACACACACACACACACACAAATGCACACAAACCAGACCTCCCAGTCAGCTGTATATGTTCCCGAGCATCAGGCAGACAGCGCAGCCGTTGTGGGCTTTGGTTGGGCCAATTGTGAGGCCGGGATTGTGACAGGTGAGATGGAGCCTGTCAGACTGCTGAGCGAGGTCCGCTCCCTGGGCGTTTTTTTCTGGCGGTCCACGCGAAAATGTGAAACCTAGGCTTGGGAATATTTTTGGGCGTTTTCTGGCGAGACCGACCCTCTGAGAAAATGCGAAGGGCATGTTTTTGGGCGTTTTCTTTTCGGGCGAGACCCCCCGGCAAAAATGTGAAACCTAGGCTTGGGCATTTTTTTGGGCGTTTTCTGGCGAGACTGAATCAGGAATCCCGCGGAAATGTGAAACCTAGGCTGGGCGTGTTTAAGGAAGTTGCATGTTGGCTTGATTTTGCCCGGGATCCCGGGCCCTCTTGTGGCCAGGTGCTCATCGCGATCTTCGTCTTCGACATCTTCAAGCATATCGACAGGCAGGGTTTAGGGTGTGGTGTATGCTTTTTGGGTTTCGGTGGATTGCAAGATGAGCGCTTTTGTAAGGCGGCCTTCGCGTGACAGGAGTGCCTTGTGCTGCCTTCCGCCCCTCGTAAGCTGGAGTGTTGTGCGCCACCGCTCCTCTCCCGGAACCCCGGGCCCTGCTCCTGTGGCCAGGTCCTCATCGTCAACTTCGTCCTCTTCGAGTGTCTCCTCGCCGAGCTCTTCAGGAGGCACGGCAAGCCGCCCGTAGCACTGGAAGGGCGACAGGGCTCCGAGAGCGCGGAGTGAGTGTCATTTCCCGGACAGCGCAGGCTTCGGAGCCTTCGGAAAGTGAGGACGACGAAGATAAGGCCAGGTTTGTTTGTCCATTCCGTGTGTTTTGGATTTTGCATCGAAAGCTGCTCGGCGGGATGTCGAGGAGCAGGCTGCCTCTGCGCAGACCGCCGACCCGGTCGAAGATGCCCCCAAGGCCTCCGAGCGTGTTGTTGGTTTGCGCTTCTGCTGTTTGAAGATCCCATTGCAGACTGTGGCCTTTGCCCCTGCTGGTGCAGGACGAGCAGCTGCAGAAGACAGCTCTGAAGAACGAGGCTCCGGCCAAATCCCGAAAGCAGACATGTTCGGCAAACACGGCAGGAAAATCACGGGAAAGCAGCCCTGCACCCGGCAGGATTTGGACCAACGAGTCCGAAGACTGGCCATTGGTGAGATGGAAACAGCACAGCAAGCTGTCAAAACCCTGACAGCGGCTGTCCAAACCCTGACAGCGTTGTGGCTTGAAGAACGTCAAGCCGGACCCAGCGACGAGGCCAATGCGCTCAAGAAGGAGCTCGAGGAGGCCAAGAAGGAGCTCGAGGAGGCCAAGAAGGAGCTCAGGGATGCCGAGCAGAAGTACGAGCGACCTGGGTTCTTAGTGCTTTTTGGCACGCGGACCTTGCCGAGCACTGGGGTTCCGGCAAGACGAGTGCAGGCCCGGGGGCTTCTGCGTGGGCATATTGCCTAGCACTCCTGCATGTCCGGGGCTCTTGGTCGTCGTGGGTTTTTCGTGCGGTCCACCGTTGTTGCTTTTTGGGGTGCCGCTTTCCTCTCAAGATCTCCTTGTGGTTAAGCTGTCTCCACTGTGTTGGCTTCTAGCAGTTCGGGGGGAGCGGGAGGGGCTTTCTGAGCAGAGGGCTCTTGGCTGCTTCAGGTTCACGCGCATGAGGCTCAGGTTACTATATCTGTGTTTGTGTGCTTGGCCACCCTGCTGTCGCAGCATCGTCGGTGTTGTTGTCTTTCGTGATTTGTTGGCGTCGCGAAGGGCCTGCACTTCCAGCAGCATAACCGTCGAGGGCCAAAGACCTCCAGCTGTGCGGGCTGTTGTTCAGAGTTTGCTTGTGCTCAGTTTGCGGCGATCTGACCAAACACATTTTTTCTTCTATGTTCATGCTCACTCAATGCGAAGCGACAGCTCCGGCCGCAGCGGGCAACAAGGCGGGTGTCCATACAATTTTAGATTGAGGTCTTCGGCGAGGCTAGGCGGACGTTGGGAGCAGTCACGTCCTTTAACAAGGGGTTTTCCAGCTTCTTGGAGGTGGCACTGCTGAGTGGCAATGAGGCTGCGTTTGTTTTTGGTGTTTGTGTGCAGGCAGGATCTACTCTTCTGAAGGACTTTGTCGGCGAGCTTCCCGATCTTGACCAACGCTTCTTGGATGGACGCATCAACAACAAAGAAGATCGTTCGTTCTTGGAGAGGGAGACAGTTGTGGACCAGGTTTTGGCTGAGATGAACAAGACGACCGAGACAAAAGGGTTGTATAAGCCTAGGCTCGTTGCTCTTTGGAGCCCTAGGGGCACGGGCAAGACATCGCTAGTTCGACACCTCGCGCAAAGCAAGCAGTATGCCGACAGCCGCAGATGTGGACGGCTGCTGGTGTTCGATGCACTTGAGCTAGAGCAACACTTGAGCACGGATGCTGACACGCTGGTGTCGGCCATCATCATTTGGCATCTTCTGCAGATCTTCCACGACTACACTGTGGAAGTTGCGCCGGGGCAAAACGTCGTTTTTGAGCGCAGGGACTTTGGTCCTGTGTTGCAGCTTCTGGAGCAGAGCCGCTCGACTCCAACCCCATCAGGTGACAGCGTTCTGTCGTGGATTGCGTCCTGTTGTAAGAGCAAACGCGATGTGTTCGAACAGTGGCTGTCAATTACCGAACAAACATTAGCGGCGCCAAAAGACTGCCCTCGTCTGTTTTTCTTGGATCAGGCAGAACTCCTTGCGAGCGAAAGCAAGGGACGGAGCAGCCAGGGAGGACAAAAGTCAACGCTTACGGACATTTTTTCAAGGCTTCCCCAGCAGATGGCCTGCTTCTGTACAGGCACACTGAACCTGATAAAGGATCGCCCGGCCAAACAGTACACAAAGCTTGTCGTCTGTGGCTTAGCAGCGCTTGCACCACTGTCTCGAGACGCTGCTGACCTGGCCATGAAACACTGGAACGGGACGCAGTATGAGGAGAATGTGCTCAACCAAATTGTGCTTTTCTCGGGTGGAGTTCCTCGACTGTTGCGGTATGCTTCCGAGACGAGCGGAGTCTTGAGGTCAACCGCACAAGCGGCGCTGAATGAAATGTCGTGGTGCCTCGAGGAGTCGTATGGGTCTGCCGGACGTTTTTTTTCTGACCCAGACATTGCTTCATCACTGGTTCTTTGCTCGGCCGTTCGGTGGCCGACAGCAGATACCGGTCTTTATAGTACTGTGCCTGGAACATCTACAGCATGGTCGGAGATTTTCAATGCAGGAGCGGCATTTCCAGCTAACAACTCAGTACTGGTTCCACGGGTTTGGTGGTGTTCTGACAAAGTGGTCCGCCAGCAGCTTGAGGATGCGTTGAAGGCCTTGAACATCTGTCTGGATCGTCTCCTGCCAGATTCCTTGCAGTTGGTATCGCAAAACAGCCAGGGGAGCCTTGCGAGGGGAAAGCCGTGGGAAGAGCTGGTTGCACATTCCCTAGCGGCACGGTTCCGCCTTTATTGCATGCAACGCAAATGTACCGGCAACAACACCTGGGCTCCCTTCCTGGAGATCTATCCGACAGACAACGCACATTTGCAAATGGTGTTGGAACCATTTGAGGTTTGCTGGAGGAATGGGGTATCGTACCCACAGAGTGAAGCTAGTGTCTCAGACGCTGCTGGACATGCTATTATGTGCAATGTTCCGTTTCGGAATGCTCACCATGACTTGTTGATTCCCGTGAAGCGGGTGAAGTGTGGTACGTGTGAGTACATTGCAGCCCAGTGTCGGTATGGAGTCAAGAAAACTGCAAAGGACCTGAACGACACATGCCAAGACAAGGCTAGAAAGCCGAAGAAAAATGAAACCCGAGATACCCTTCCGGACATGCCAAACGTGCTTCTCCAAATATGTCCCGAGACTGAAGGTGCTCAGCCGTTTGAGGCAGGTACTTCGTGGGCAAAACGCCAAGGCGAATACAGATACAGTCTCATGAGTTGCAAAAGCATACTCGCGCAACTGGATGTGCTGCGCCTTCTGTGACAAAAAGATGCTTGGGTTTGTTGTGTCTCATGTCTACATATGTCACTTGTTCCGTAATGCCTTGCAGGAGAACAGAACGCTTAACATGTGGTTGAGGCATGCAGCAATACGCTGACCGAAACGGCAATGTGCCATGTGCCCTGTGCCTGACGCACTAAATCTGCATTCGATGCCAGGTCTCATTGACCGCAGTGACATTCCGACGCGTTTCTACGTCAGGTGCTCGGTGTTTCTTCCCATCCCCCAGTCCAGCTGTAAACTTCATGCGTGATTGCGCAGATTGTTGCATGTCAGCAGTCAATCATTTCAGTGTTGCTTTCACTAGTACCGCTTGTATCCAGATGTTATGCACTAGTCACTAGGCCCTGTTCCTTTAGCGCGCGGACCTTGAAGAGCAGTGGGGTTCCGGCAAGACGAGTGCAGGCCGGGGGCTTCTGCGTGGGCATGTTGCCTTTGGCTTGTGGCACTCCTGCATGTCCGGGGCTCTTGGTCGACGTGGGTTCTTCGTGCGGTCCACCGTTGTTGCTTTTTGGGGTCTGCTTCCCTCAGGATCTCCTTGTGGTTAAGCTGTCTCCACTGTGTTGGCTTGCAGCAGTTCGGGGAGCGGGAGGGGCTTTCGGAGCAGAGGGCTCTTGGCTGCTTCAGTTTCACGCAAATCTGGTTGCACCTCGTGTTTTACCGGGTGTTGGTGCTGGCAGTGCGACTCGAGGTGAGGCTCAGGTTACCATATTCTTTTTGTGTTGTGATTTGTTGGGGTCGGGCACGGCGAGCCCCACGGTCGGGGCCAAGCAGGCCGCAGTTTAGTTATGACGACAGGTGGTTCCTGCGTAGGTACCAGGGAGGTTCTTGTCCAGTTCGGCTTTGGCTTCGGTAGCTGTTCTTATTGCTTGGTTTGATAACTTGCAGAGGGCGTTGTGTCAGCTTGAACAGGACTGGTGCGGCAGGCTGCTCCAGAAGAAGCTTACGTTCGGGCCAGGCACACCGCTACTTTCCACAATCGGAGCCGATTTGGACATTGCGGGAAGGAAGACCTGCTGAAAAACATACGGGCCGAAATTCGGCAGCTGCATGATAAAAAGGGGTGCGGCCCGGACAAGCAAAATCATCCCTTGTTCGTTGCCTTCGCCGGCCCCGGCCAAGGCAAGTCCCGACTGCTCAAAGAGTTCCCGGGCCCGGTGGAGGAGTGTCTCAGAAATCTCGCGAACCGCAGGTTCGATGAGCCGCTCCCTTTTCTCCTCAGCTGCGAGAACGGCATGGGGCCTGGGGACTGGGCCACAGAGGAGCTCAACGCCCGGCGCTTCGTGGCCTGCCGCATGCTCTGGCGCCCTTCTACCAAGTGATACAGGAGGTCTGCCGCCTCGTGAACCAGGACACTTCCCCATTCGTTGTGGCGTGCGTGACAGCTGCAGGCAGGCCTTGGGAGTGATAGCTTGCTGACACTGGCATCACGGACACGAATCCTGCGTCGAGCGCATTCTGTGTTCCCTGCTAAGCACTGCAATTGTGCAGAAGTTGAGTTTGCTTGGGTTTTTGGAAGAACATTGTAGCGTAGTGTAGATTGTTGGAGGCTGCGAGGATAATTAATTATTCCTGACTTCAATCCTTGATGCAGTGCTTTTTATAGCCGAACAGTCTGCTCTGAACACCTTCAAAACTGCTGCTCAGCTCGTCTGAGTCCTCGTCCGGGCCCACACTTCCGGGGGGGTTCGAGGTCCAGAGAGACCTCCACCAGCGTTTTGCAGAGCTGTGCGAGTGCAAGCTTGCAGTGTAGGTGCCAGCTAATCTGCAGCATGTATTTGAGCAGAACCTTCCGATCACGGAAAACACCGAGATCCAGGCTACTGATCAGCCCGGGCGTGCACTTTTTTGCTTGGGGGTTGTTGCTTTACTTGACGAAAAGCTTGTGCTCCACATGCTCCACGACAGTTGGCCGATGCATTTGCTTTCCACTGCTGTTCGAAAAGTTTGCTGCTAGCAGGATTTAGCTTGCAACAGTTGATTGGACCGTCGCACTGACACGACAACGCAGCACTCATCGTTGGAATATCGCTCTGTCCGCTCGAGTCTGCAGCACTCATCAGTGCGTTGCAAGTCCGGTTCGCGTCTGCAAGCATCGGTGAAGTTTCGGCTAGTCTTTTGGAATCTTTCTGGAATCTTTCTAGTCTTTGCGGAGTCTTATAGAGACTTTGTGAAAAAATCGCGATCTTTTGAAGTCTTTGTATCCCTCGAGTCCAGCACTCATCGCACGATTGACGGTTGTGGCGCTTTCCGAGTCGAACCTTATAAGGACGACCCACCCAGAGCTGCAGTGGAAGTCCAACCTTCAAACCTCTGCCCCGCCAGACCGCGCGACGGCCCAAAAGATTTTGCGCGCATTTAACGGGCACTTTTGACCCTTCTAAAAGCCAGCCCGAAGCCCTCAAGACCGCGTTTTGGAACGAGTTACCGCCAAATCAGGGAGGAAGGACTTGCCCCCACAACCAAACAGCCAGAGGCCACGCCACAACAGAGGCCAGTTTGGAAACACAGATACAAGAGAGAGTGAAAGTACGTTATGTCCGAGCGGGTTTGACAGAGCCATCCGATCTTGCCTAGACAGCTTCGGAACCTCGAGGCCGCTTCGCTCGACAATTCCTTTGAGGGCTCTTCAACGCTTTTCTCGTCGTACATACTCCTGATGTCTGGTGTCGTCAAGGATGCTTTCACCGTAGATATGCCCCATCCGAAGGATGTAAAGACCAACTTCACATACTCTGGCTTCAAGCATGATCTGTCGTCCATCCCAACGGATCAGGCGGCCGAGGAATTCCATCTGCCCATCTTCGATCAGCCTTCCTGTCACTTTCACTTTCAAGACTGAACTTAAGGCTTCGTGGACATACTCGAACCCCTTTTCGGTGTGGGCAATATGAGCAAAGCATCCACGTAGGCTAACATGATGATGTACTCCCATCCGGATTCAAGGTTGACCCATCCGCTGAAAAGCGTCGGTTCAAGCGGACTCGCTTTCAGGCCTAGGGCAGAAACGATCTTATTCAGATGACGCTGCCAGTTAAGGCTAGCGGAACGCAAGCCGTACAACGCTTTCTCCAGTATCAGGTACGCGGTTTCGCCGCTCTCGAGCGCGAACGTCCTGGAAGCTCGATGATGGTTGGTTCGACCACCTGCGCAACTGCGAACCTGTTGCGCGTGTGCGCTGCATACTGAGACAAAAGGTCGAAAACATCTGCACGCTCAGCATCCAAAACAGCTCACGCAACTCAAAAAGCTCATGTGTTGCCAATGCCTTTCAGGGTCTGAATGGCTCGTTCTGCTGGTGCATGTCTTTCGGGCGCAAAACTATCCTCAGTACCCTCATAAAGATCCGCGAGGCTTGCTGCAATGTTCTTTGTGAGTCCTTCTGCGTCAGACATAAAAGCGGCTGCTTTGCACCAAAATGCCTGATCCAGAGCTGTAGGTGCTCTGCTGTAGTCGCGGTACTCTCCCTTCAGGTTTAGACGATGAATGCCAGTTTGGGGTAAAAACACTGGTCGATTTGAAATTCTCTCGGGTTCAGATCAGTACGTCTACGGGCAGGTGTGTTACCTCTCGTGCGCTGGCAATGTTTACTGTTCAGACATGTACGGAAACATGACCCTGCATGATGCTGAAGCTCTGCATGTTTGCTACGCACAGTATCGCCGCCTACATCTTCTCAAAAGTATGATTGTGATTGGGCTCATTCGGTTCTTTTCCATCTTGAAGCAAAGCTGCAAAAGTAGGCACAGGTACTTGGGCGAATTGGAAGGCTCTTCAACTGTTGCCTAAACCCTCCGCAGAGGCCCAGCAAGTATTACGCCTCTTAAATAGCTACCCAAAGGCCAAGCAAGTATTTGGCCTCTTAAATTGCTGCCAAAACCCTCCACAGAGGGGGGGGCTTGGTTGCGGCTTCAGGGGGGAACTTTTGGGGGGGCTTTAAGGGCGCTTAAAAAGAGGGGAGAGGGGCTTAAAGGGGGGCCTTTAAGCCCCTTAAAACGGGGCCTTCAAGGGGGGGTTTAAGGGGGCTTTAAGGGGGGCTTAAAGGGTTTTAAAGGGGGGCTAAAAAAAAGGGGGGCTTGAAAGGGGGGCTTAAAGGGGGGTGCTTCAAGGGGGCTTAAAGGGGACTTTAAGGGGGGGGGGCTTCAGGGGGGGCTTAAGGGGGGCTTAAGGGGGGGCTTAAGGGGGGGGCTTAGGGGGGGCTTAGGGGGGGGGCTTAAGGGGGGGCTTAAGGCCAAGGGGGCTTAAGGGCTTTGACCCTTTGCCCCCCCCCCCCCCAGGGACCCCCCTTTGCAGGGACCCCTTTGAAGGGGGGCTTAAGGAGGGCTTAAAGCGGGGCTTAAGCCCCCCTTTGCCCAAAGGGGGGGGGGGCCCATTCTTCTTGTAATTTAGTATATTAAAGGGAGTGAATGACAAGTGAGCACGCAATAAGATCTTTGTACGCGTGCTATTCATTCATGCGGGCTTATATTCGCCCGTCCCTTTAATAATAATATACGGTGTCACGCGTGAATAGACAAAAGGGCTTATTATGAAGAGATCTCTATTTTCAAGCCCTTTTGCACGCACACTGTACTACTTCTATAGGTTGTTCATGATCACCCGGGAAAGTACGCGCAATATTAATATTAAAACGAAGGTAAAGCATGCACGCTTCGTATTAATATTAATGTTGTGGCCTTTTTCCCCCTTAATAATACAGTACGGGCGTATAAGGGCGAAAAGACCATTATGACGCCCGTAATATATTAATTAAGGGCCCTTTCATGCTGTGTTAAAAGCCCCTCTAAAAGACTTATATTAGAATGGGGCTTTTACCTACAGCATTAAAGGGGGAAAAGGACACCCAAAAGACCATAAAATTAGTATATTCGTGCGTGAACTTACAATATACTATTTTATTGGACTTTTGGAGAAGTGAACGAAAGAAGAGAGTTCACGCACCTGCCCCAGAATCCCTCTTTGAACCTGTAATCCAGTTCATG